TCTTATGTCAGCATCGTTTGATGAGAATACATCGGCGTACTTGAGTAACAACTTCTTCGCCTTGACCATTTTGTTCGGGGAGAGAACGCTGCAACAGTCTTCCAAAAGTGTGGTTACTCACGTTTGTGCATCCTTGCTAGGGGTCCCATTCGATAGACATTGGCACCGACGTAACCCATCCACTTCCTCACAAGTACCAACCAGTGTGCCTTTTTCTATAATCTGTTCCTGGTCACAAAGGTTCAACACACGTACTCATGAGATGTCAGTGGTTCTGACCAAGGTTTGAGCTACTTTCTATGGAAGGTCATTGTTTACCCTTTCCACAAGTACACAACGATGAGGTTGCCCAGGATTCCGAGGAAGACTAACCGGCACAATCGTTTCCGATCTCGGCGAAAGAACAATCTTCTTGAGGCTGTACACGTTCCCTGGTAACGCCCCTTCCACGAAAAGTTCCTCTTGTCCACATTTCAAAACACCTTGCTTAACGTCAATCTCACAACAATTCTTCCTCGTGAAGTCTAGGCCCAGGATGCAGTCGTCCATTATATCAGCCACGTTGACATTATGCAGGTAGATCAAATTGCCTAGCTTCAATTCCATCTCCTTCTCTCCACGGACGGGTATACGCTGACCAATGGCTGTTACCAAATTAATGCGTTCTCGGTTGTATGCGGAGTCTCCAAGGACTTATAAGTTGGGAACTAACAACAGTACGAGAGGCTCCAGTGTCTATGGTCAGTTTACACGGCATTACGTTGACCTGCCCTTGATGATTAGACTGTTCCCATCATGGGTTTGTGAGACCGAGATACTTGGAGCTCTTTTAACATCAGCCAGCATCCGCCAGTTTCCCTGTTGCTGCTGGGCGGTGCTGTTAACGGCACTACCCTCTCGAGATCGATTACCTTCCCTTTCTATTGTTCGCTTAGGGCAGCTGGATTGAAGATTTGCCATTTTTCCACATTCCCTTTCCCCACAGTCGTAGCACCTAGGGCTGTATCCTTTATTACGGTCGCGAGCTGTAGCTGCTGCAACCTCCCTGACGCGATGGGAACGAAGATCCTGCCGCACGGTTTCCGCCTCCCGTGCATGGGCCAAGGCGTCCTTAAGCGTCTCGTGGTGCCCGAGCCTCACAGCAGCTCTGACTTCAAGGTCACGGATGCCTTCGATGAATGTCTGCACCAGGTTTCCTTCAATGAGCGCAGGTACAGACCGGTATGCTTTTCGCACCAGCTTCTCCACCTCTAGAGCCCACTGCTGCAGGTTTTCGTTGATGTGCTGCACGCGATATTTAAGCTGCGCACGAAAGACGTGTTCAGGTGAGCGTCGCCATATCTCGCCTCTAATGCCTCAAGGAGTTGCTCATAAGTCACTTCCTCACCGAGAGCTTAAAGAACTGTTAAGGCCTGTTCGCGCAGGCCTAGTATGAGAGCAGTCATGGCCTGACTTTTATTCCAGCCGCTCGCCTTCATAACAGCCTCGAACTGGATTTTGTAGGCTGAGCAGGAAGAAGTCCCGTCAAACGGTGCCACCTTGAACCCACGTAGCGAAAAGGTGTAGTAGCTACTACGGGAGCTGTTAGTTCCATTCCCAAGTTTGAGTTCTTCCAGTGATTTCTTCATGTCAGCCATTACGTTGTCAACCCGATTGTTCACGTGGTCGATTCGGGTTTCAGCTTCCGACAGTCGGTTGTCATGTCGAGCAACCTTGTCCTTCACCTCCCTTATCTCTTTCCCGAAGTTAGGGTGAATGTTCTTCATGAGGAGCATCTGCTCTTCCTTATCACGTTTGAGCTGCTTTTCCAACCGATGGGCCTGTTCCTCCTGTTGGCGCTGCAGCTGCTCTTCCAACCGATGGACCTGTTCCTCCTGTTGGCGGGCCTGTTTCTCCTGCTGCTCTTTCAACCAACGGGCCTGTTCCTCCTGTCCGCCCCGCAGCTGCTCTTCCAATCGGCGTGCCTGTTCCGCCTGCTGGCGGGCCTGTTCCTGCAACATCATCATGAGAGCACCTAAGTCAGGTACTGCAGGTGTAGGAGCGACTGACGGGCTAGCCTCCGTGGTTGGCAGTTGGCCCCCCGACGTCTGCGGCGTTGCACCACCAAACCTTCTCTGGTCCGTCTCCTACTGGCGTTGACTTCGGATAAGGACACCCTCCATTTCGTCCTTAGGTAAAATCGGTATGTTTCTATCTCACTTCTGACACCAATTGTTACGAGCTTGATGTGTGTGACAGTAAAAACTGCCGATTGAATTACCAAAATTTACACTTTAATTCACTTTACACCAATTAAAATTTAAAACACTAATAATTAATCACACTGATTCACTTTATTTCGCTCCGAAGCTTCGCTTGTCTCGCCAAATTCAATACTGCCCCGATCGCGTCTTGCAGCGCCTTTAAATACACATTTTTCACCGAAACATCCAGAATATTCAAGTAAATACGGGCGCCAACCGACCAGGCGCAGAAAGTTCGAGTGTGGGGCTTCTAGAAAGCTTAATTCTTCTGTTCGATACTAGATGGCGCTGTTGGTCGTAAGTAGATTGACACTAGATGGCACTAGTGCCAAGTAGCTGACGTTAACTTAAGTCGGCCAACTTCGCACAAATCCTTTTTGTCACATCAAATCAAAAATCTCAATTCAAAAAGCAATTTTGTCCATGACATAACACTCGGAGCAAACTGCTTAATTCATTTAATGCAAAAAGGCCACTCATACTGTCAATTCATAGCATGTTAAAGTTATACATTTCCCGGTACATCTCTAAAAATTACTGAACTTTAAAATTTACCCCATGTAAATCATATTTTGCGTGAACATAAAACTGAGATAACAAATCTAGTAATAATTCATTACACATGATTGTTTTAGGAGTTTACTCGATGAGGGATCATAAGCGAGGACCAGTCTTTTTTAACTCTGCTTTCTCTCCTAAGGGGCATGCTATTTTAGTAAACTTAAGATCGGTAAGATAATTAGCTGCATGATCTTTTTAAAGTGATTGTTAATGCCATTAAAAAATCGAATCATTTTCTATGTAAGCGTTTATTTTGTGCGATAATTTTTATTACATTACACCTTCCCTCTATATCCGAGTTTGGATCGACTGGATTAAGGGCCTATACTACCTCAGCTCAAATTCTAATTTCGCCCCCCACTTCATTTAGATTTTGGATTAGAGCACGAGGGGGACTGAGCGTTGACTTCATTATACGAGACCTCTCCAACTTTACGATTCGGTTCAGTGTGCCTCTAACCATTCGGTGATCGCTGCCAGCTGCTTGCGATCACTGAGACATCACTGAACAGTTGCCGTCTAGTCGTCATAATGAAGCCCCCCCGCGCTGTTATCATGGTCGCCACTGTAGTCAGGAATAGTGGGGCCGCCGGGGGACCATATCTCGCCATAGTTGCCACACTTGACGAGCGAGTTAACAACCACAGATTTTTTTTAGTACAGCTGCTATCATGAAGATGCTGCTGCCCATCAGCTGCTTGTTTCCCTCTGTCGCTTTTACGACATCCACAAGAAGATATGGGGTAGTGGATATTCTTAACCGCAACCACACGGCATTTTATGAATACCAGCAGTTTATTGTTCAGTTTGGAGGTAACTTTGGATTTTTTTCTATCGAGAAAATTTTACGGAATCCTGTTTTCGTCTAACATGTACTTAATATTAATCCTCAAATTTACCATATATTTCAACTTTACCACGGTATGGCTATTAACATAGTCGAAACACAAAATAAAATGAAGCAACTCTATAATTTAACAGGGTCATTATTCGCCCAAATAGACTCAGGTTAGTCAATTCAATTAAGTTTGGCTTTCAGGCATTTCTCTCAATTTAAAAAAGTTATTTTTTTTTTCAAAGCAGGGGCAGCAGCGGTAAATAATCAGGCCACAACGTCTCACACCGACAGCTTATTTCCATTCAAGAACAAGAGGCATAGTACGACGCCTTCATCACACTATTCGAAGATTATATGTGGGCGATAACAGGAACATAATCCCACTTCTGATGTACGCGAAAGAGGATCATCTTTAGATGCACTGATGATGGATGGCGCAAATATGCGTGCGTTACAACATAAAATACAAGAAAAAACAGTAAGCAGATCGTTAGCAATTCGTCACAAATATATGGTACGCTTCTCGATGATGTCTTTCTCAAAAATCCTATAAAAACCTTTTTACCGGTATCCAATATTTAGCTGGCTGACGCATTATATTATCAATAAATAAAAATATATGAACCTAAAAGTAAACATTTAAGCTGTCGGAAAGCCTTCAAAATTAGAATAATTTTGTTATTTGATAAAGTCTTAAATGTCCTTGGAACTACACTACAGCACAGTACTTCGACGTACACTATTACACCATTTAAAAGTACTAATAATACACCAGATAAAAGTTCCCATAGTAAATACACCTAGATAGTGTGTTCATTTCAATTAGTTCTATAATTTTTTTATAGTATAGGGAAACAAACGAGCACACGATCCATCTGATGGTAAAAGGAAGCTGTGGCCAATAGACATCGACATTTATCCTCAATTAAGAATCAAAATGCAGAAATACCTTGTTACCCCTGAGGACTAGGATGGAATGCCTCGTTTCCAGTAAAAACGGTCTCCGGTTCTCTACACTCGTCATACGAAACACAGCTGCTATTTTACGCACTAATAATTTTGTATGCATTTAGCCCCTGAACTACTCATGACTCACAAGATATTATTGTGATGAATTTAGTGAAAAATTATAATAGACTGTATGCCCTAAGAACTTTGCCTGCCCTAATTGTATCATATTATCCCTTAATTTGATTTCGTTAAGTATACTCAACACTCGAATCAAAAAAATATAGTACTATGTTTATGTCACGGTTTAATATTTTTTTTGTTTTTATATAATTTGTAATTTAGTATTTTTGGTAGAAAAAAATATTTGAACCAGGTGGCAACACTAAATTTGACAGTACCAAGCAAAAATGGCGACCAGGCGAAACACGCTGCGGACTGTGCAGGTAATTTTACATTTTTTTTGTGTTAAGTGTCTAAAAATAATAATTATGACAATTGTTTATATTTCTATAATATATATCTAATGTTTAATCATCATTTTCAATTCTATACGCTATGAGATATAAACACTATAGGTATGTAAACGTGAATGTTGAGTATCATTAACAAAGTTCGGTGGTGTGTAATTGAGTGTGATAAACGTATGTTGAGTATACTCTACAAATTTGCATGGTGGGATATATGATGGCAGTTTTGTTTGTTAAGTCTTCTTAACAATAATAAGGGCTTTGGTGTTCTTATTCTATTTATAATATGCATAGCTTTTTTTCTTTTCACGCAATACTTTAATTTCCACCATATAATATTCCTTTCCGAGCAATATTAACATGTATATTGTGTGCGATAAAATGCTTGCTTTGTTTTTTGCCTGCAAAATAAAATTCTTGTTTCAGAATTTGAGGTCAAAACGTATTTTGGCCCTTGTACCCCAAGAAAACGCTCAATCTGATATAAGTGGGACATCGAACTCTGAGAATGAGCTTGAAGACGAAGTGTACAACTTTCAAAGTCGAGCTTCTGAGTCATCTGAAGCACCATCAATTGACTCTGCTTTAGAACGGCTCGATATAGATTTTTCCGATGACAATTATCCGAATACGGCTCCGACTGATCACACAGGATATGATGAGACTGACAATTATGATGATGACCACCAAGAAAATAACTTTTCACTGACATCCATAAGTTCTTTACCAACACTTTCTCCAATGTCAAACATACCTTCTATGACGCCATCATTTATAATCAACCAAGTAAGTGACTCTCCCCAACAATCTCCATGTAATTCTACTTCAACACCTCTTCCAAATCGTTATACTCGAAAAAGACGCCGTCAGCAAAACTCGATCTCGAAAAGACCTTGTATTGTTACTAAAAATAAGAAAGTCAACCTCAAATTTCAATGGTCAAGCGGACGTTTTCGATTTCGTGCCGAATTAGAACCCGATAAGTTTGAAAGTCCTATACCTGATGGAAAAACAACATTAGATTATTTCAACGACTTTTTTTCAGAAGATATGTTCGACGAAATATGTCACTACACAAATATGTATTCCATTCAGAAAACAGGCCGATCAATAAATTTGTCAGGTGCCGAATTGCGCAAATTTATAGCAATTAAAGTCATTACGGGTATCGTGTCCATGCCTTCATATCTGGATTATTGGGCTACTGACACCCGTTTCCCAATGGTTGCGGATGTAATGCCTCTAAAGCGTTATCAAATTATACGGAGATACCTACATTTTGTAGATAATACAGATACTGACTCCGATCCATATTTTAAAATAAGACCAGTAGTGGAAAAAATCCGTGCAAACTGCTTGAAAGTAGAAGAAGAGACTAGATTCAGTATAGATGAAATGGTGATTCCATATAAAGGCACCAAAGCTGGGAAAAAAAGACAGTATAACCCGCGCAAGCCACGAAAATGGGGCTTTAAAAATTTGGTGCGAGCAGGTGCATCAGGGATTATTTACGATTTTTTTCTTTATACTGGTAACGATAATTTTGAGGACTGTAACTTTACAAAGGAAGAAGAAGGCTTAGGTTGGGGGGCCAAGGCTGTTTTGAGACTTTGTAAAAGCATAAAGAAAAAACCTTGTGTCGTCTACTTTGACAACTTTTTTTCTTCTTTGGAGCTAATACACCATCTCAGGAATTTCTACGGAATATTTAGTCTTGGTACAATGCGTACAAATCGCCTGAGAGATGCTGGAAAAAAACTGAAACCAGACAAGGTTCTCAAAACTCAGGGTAGAGGGGCTTTTAGTCAAACTGTTTGTAATAAAACCAAACTCTCTGTGGTCAAATGGAACGACAATAAATGTGTCGTACTGGCTTCAAGTTACGCAGACGCATATCCACTAATTAAGGTACGAAGATACTGCAAAATTAGGAAGCAGAGGATTGAGGTACAGTATCCTAATGTTGTTATGCATTACAACGCCCATATGGGCGGCGTCGACCTGTCAGATATGCTGATAGCTTTATATCGCACCGAAATGAAGACCAGGCGCTGGTATCTATCGATTTTTTCGCAATTACTTGACATATGTATTAATAATGCTTGGTTGACTTACCGAAGGGATAATAAAAGAAAGGGAGAGACTAAATATATTCTTTTGAAACAGTTTAGGCTAAGTATCTACAAGGCATTGCTGAAAAAGGGGACAACTATAGACGCAGCTAATGTACAAGATCTTAATAAAATAAATAAAATAAAAAACCCTACGCGTTCCAGACCAGTAGATGATGTTAGATTCGATAATATCGACCATTTTCCAGAACATGGAAAGGATTATGGTCGTTGTGCTTATTGCAAAAAAGATTTACCACCGTTTTCTGCATGAAATGTAACGTTAGACTTTGCTTTGTTAAAGATCGCAATTGTCATTATAATTACCACCATAGGAAGCCTTAATACTTTTGTCAATTTGTCAAAATTTTTCGAATAAACATTATTTTTTGATTGAATTATGTTTGATCTTGCAGTACCCTTATTGAGATTTGTTAAGAATACTCAACGATTATAACACTACTTTTTTTCCTGTACATCGAATTTTGTTGAATATACTTAACGTCTGTTTTCCAGGAAACCCTACAATAAATAATTTTATTTAGATTTTTCCCATACATTTCTAATGTCCAACAGTAAAATATATTCATCTTAGCTTATTGCCATAACTTAGCATGGCTTGCCAAATTAAGGGTTATCAACAATGGCTGCGTTTGGCAGAAAAAGCGCTAGCAAGCGCTTGTAAGCAAAATGGCGAAACTAAACAGTTTTCGGTCAGGACATGTTTGCTAACTTCAGTAGTGCTGACACAACCCGCCATTTTGCTTATTTAATTTGTTTGTTTTGAAGTAGAGTTTATAAGTCTTTTTGTGCAATATTAGTTTCAAGTAAAATATAATGTCATGAATAAACATATTATACATGTTATTAAAAATTCATGATTGGTAAGTTTTTAATATGAATACTTTACAAACATATATTTAAATTAGGTTAGGTTCCCCGGTTAAAGCTAACTTTGTGTCCTAGAGGAAAATAGCTACTTACGATTTGATAGCACTTACCGCTTACGATCGCCATTTTGCTTACAATTACAAGCGTTTGCTAACGCTTTTTTCTGCCAAACGCAGTCAATAACTCTCTGGTAACCTGGTAACAACAACAACAACTAATTGTCAAATTCAAGTGTCAATACAACATAGCAACAGGATGGGTTATATTTTACGGCGATAAAAATGAAGCGATGAAACTGTAAGAAATTGCAAAACAAGGATTTGAAGTTACTTATTAGAGAAACCTAAGAAAAAAATTGTTAAGCGGTATGGCTTTAATGAAATCAAGTGAAGTCCCTGAAGATGCTGTTGCACTAAGTGAAATCGAAGCTACTACCTACATGTGGGATTTGGTTAACAACTGGGAATCGCTTTCAGACACGTAAGTATATCCTTGGCTTAAAAATTCTATAATTATTAAAATCATTGGTATGCAAAGACCATAAGTATTCGTTGCATAATTACTTTATAATTAGTTCTTTAAACAATTAAACTTTCATCCATATTTCTTTGAAATTAGAAACTATAAATAAAATTTCAAACATGAAAGCTCTTCAATGTTAATGTTACCACTATAATATAGAACAAGCATAATATTTTTTTTATTTTGAAAATATTGCAGGATTTTCTGCTGTATTTTGCAGTTGTTTTACTACATAAATTTCACAGACAAACATCCAAACACTATACAATTACTATCTAGCACTTCTTCTTTGCAGAATTCGAACCCACACCCCTGTAGCACCGCAACCAAATGCTTAGTCACTGTGCTACTAATCCTTCAAAAAATAATTTTGTTACACGTTTTTCCATATCAACCAAATAAGATGAACATTTTTAATTAAGGTATCAATGTCAATAACAAAAAGAAATATTTTTTGTGTCATATACATGTGGTTGGATATATTTAAGGATAGACATTTTTTGTGGATGAGGTTTAGAATGATTATTATTTTTATATAATATTGCATTGCTGCTCAATACCTGTTGTTGAGTAACACATATCACTTTATTTTACATATAGTTGTTATTCAACTATTTATTTTTTATAGAATAAGGGTGACAAATGAGCACACGTTCCACCTGATGGTAAGTGGATGCTGTGGCCCATATACATCTGCATTTATCCTCGATTAAGAATCTAAACACAGATATATTGTCAACCCTGTGGACTAAGATGGAATGCCTCGTTTCCAGTAAAAAAGGGTCTCAGGATCTCTACACTCACCATATGAAACACAGCTGTATTTAGCTACTATTTTACGCTGATATATTATATTAACTAGTATAGTGAAAAAAGATTAGGTGAAGCCTCAAAACCAGTTCATAACATAAATGTCCTACATCCTACATATCAAAAGTCCACGGCTTTATATAGGCCTCCACAACAGCTTACCTCACAGGGGAATATTTGCCATAGTTGCCACACTTGGCAGACTGTAGCAGGAAGTCAACTGCAATTTTGTTTTTGTTGAGTTATTATCAAGAAGATGCTTGTTGTTGCTATATTTAACTTTTTTGAAATCCTAATGTTTTAGGAGCTTTGCCTATCTATGATCCTGATTTATCCAGGAAGTCGCCCAGCCATGTTCTCTATTGAAATGGTTATATTTTATATTTCGATGCCTTAACCTTGGTAAAAATCAGTGGTTGTGCAAGGTCTTCTGGTCAATAAAATATAATATGTTATGGTCTTAGCACTAATAGGCTTGACTAGAGAAGGAACCCTCTCTCACAGAATACCAGCATAAAATAGCATGGTAATGCTGGTGTCTTTGTATGGTTAGTGTAATGGCCTCAAACATGACAACACATCTGTTTTTTGATCCTTAATTAAAGACATATGTAGATGTTTATAGGCCATCATCCTCTTACCTTCAGTTGGCTGTGTCTCATTTGCCAACCTTATTTTATTTTAAAAAAAGCCTAAATCCCTGACAATATCCTGATTTTTTCCAATCCAAATATCCAATTGTGAGGATTCTAGGCTGAATTCAAGCTAACAGGCCACTCTTAAAGACATCGGTTTTGTTTTGGTTAGTGGAGTGATTCTTATGTCGAGATTTACGAGGGACAGCTGATAAGTCGGCGGCCAAAGGTACTTAATGAAAGAAAATATATGGTTTCTATTTTTTTGTTTTTCAGTGTAATCCCTCAAGTGAAATAAACTTTTCACATCCCACATACAATGCCTTTAATCCACCCAAAAAATATTCTGTACCTGTCTCTTCAAAATGATGTCAACCACAGCTTTCAAACAACTACTCACTTGCCTGCAGCAGGTGCAATTTAGGGTGTACAGCGATTGGGGCGATATCAGAATTGTCTCTCACACATGTCTGCCTTTCAGTACGTGAGTTCAGAGAGTGTACGTCTTGCTGGACACACGCGTTGAGAATGGCTAAAGTTTTATCGAAATTTCAATATATAAAGCCTTGGCTCTTTTTTATCTATCTGTATAAAACACAAAAAAATGCTACATATGTTCATTATAGACTTTGAAACCCATCCAACAGATGCGCCCCAAACCGGTTTCATTAGAAAGGTAATATTGTGAAGATGGTTTTAGACCACTAACACAATGCATTAGGCACTTATATAAAAAGTTTATTTTTTAGCATAGTAGCACATGTCGGGTATCCACTAGTATAGAATAAGGATGACAAACAAACACACAGTCCACCTGATGGTAAATGGATATCGTGGCCCATAAACACCTACATTTACCTATAAAACTACAAATTATTTAATAATTACTAACAAAATATAGTGCTTTAAGCTGCAGCGTGATTCTACCACTTTTAAAGTACGTTACCACGTTTAAAAACGTTGCCACGTTAAAAAACGTTACCATGTTTAAAATGTTAACATGTTAAAAAACGTAACCACGTGTGGAAGTCACTAACGAATAGATTGAAATTTCCTTAATTGCGTTACACACGGGACAGCGGCAGCTCCGATTTAGGGAGCAAGGAAGGTGTTGCGCCACTGCCGCCCTTAGGGCCGACTTAGGAAATTGCCCCTGCTTGCATACACACATCATAATTAAGGAGACAATTAAGGGCCATCCCCACTCCTATACCCTAGATTGCCGCTGCGGCACGAAAGTGAGTAGCCGCCTTTCATTTCGTTGTCATCTGCAATTCTCCGGACCCCTACGTCCTTTTTCAAATTGGAAAACAGGAAAAAATCCCTAGGTGCTAGGTCTGGGCTATACGGAGGGTGGTCAATCTCTGAGAATCCCGTGTTTTTCAGGCAATCCACGGGGCTTTGTCTTGCAGAAAGAGCACTCCGCGCGTCAGTTTCCCACGTCGATTCTGTACAATAGCCTCGCGAACCGGAGTTAATAAATTGGCGTTATATTGGCCATTCATTGTAGTTCCCCTGGTAGATAGTCGATAAACATAATTCCCTCGCCATCTGAGACCAATTTGTTGAGGGGCCCAAATGAAAGGCCCAAGACCGCTCGCATTGATTTATAATAATTATATATTGTTTATAAGTTAATAATTACTATTTTTACTCCTAAGAACTAAGCTAGCCAAACAATTCAAATCAAATATAAACTTTCTTTGTCATGTTCAGCGAACTTAATAGGTCAGGGAAAAAGTTTCTTCATAACATTTTTTTTTTCAAAGCTTTATTACATTAAATTAATACCAGCGTAAATTCGCTCTGTTCCGTATAGTGAGTGTAGAGAACCAGAGATCCTTTTTAACTGGAAATGTAGCAATCGGTCTTAGTCCTCAGGCATAGCAATGTGATTCTTAATCGAGGATAAATGTAGATGTCTATGGACCACAGCACCTACATACCATCAAGTGGACTGTGTGCTCGTTTGTCACCCTTATTCTATAAAAAAAAAACTACCGCTGAACATGGGCCTTCTCATGCTTTGCTAGTGGATTGACGATTGCAGTTCCAAATGTCTTTTAACACTGCTGCCTAGTTATTTTACATCCAGCTTAAATAAAATGGTTATAGATATAACATAACACCTTTTATCCCTGAGGTGGTAGGCAGAGCTTAAAGAGCAGGGAACTACTTGCATTCAAATGGGTTTTTGGACTAAACATGGTGGACGAATAGTGAAAAGAAATAAAAACCCAATATCACATTATTATCCTTTTATAACATGCTAAGCAACTGACACAGTTGGCACATTCATTGTTTATAAGTCCCACCTAAATATGGGACAAGTGATGATTATATAGTGAGATGACTGCTTCGTTGGTTTAGTGGTTGTAGTAGTGCGACTACTGATCATGAGGTCCTGGGTTCGAATCCCGGGTCGGGCCAAAAAATCAATTATTGAATTTTTCTGTTAAGAAATTCTCAGTAGCTGCCGGGAGTCAGGAAGTTGGCTCACCTCTGTGCCTCGGAAAGCACGTAAAGCCGTTGTTACTGCGCTTGATCTCTCTCCAGTCGTGTCGGTTTACCGTCCCATCGGATTATGAGAGTGAGGGAATAGAGAGTGCACTTGTGCTTGCGCATACGCTTGGGCACTATAATCCTGTCCTGCGCTGATGGCTGGCCTTCGTTGAGGCAGGCCGCTGTGACCGAAATTCGGTCTGGAGGACATTATTATTTATATAGTGAGATAGTTATGGTTATCCACAACCAATGAAATCCATTAATCAAAATACCTTAGTATACTTGCAATATTTTGCAATTACCCGCCAAATTTGCAGAAAAGATTCAGAATAAATAATATAAGCAAATGGTGAAGAAAAATTAATTAAAAAATCTCAAACATTCTGGCCTTTTTATCCGATTCGTCCGATTTTTGTCCGATTTCACTGCGCACGCACACATTCGTAAAGGCGAATGAAATTGTTGATTGCAATTTTAAGTGCTGATTTACCACGTGCTCGGTGGTGAAGGAAAACATCATGAGGAAACTTGCATGTCAGAGAAATAAGAAAAAAATTTCGAAGACATGTGAAGTTCGCCAAGTTCGTTGTTGCCCGTAAATCACATTCAATTTGAAATAATTTCAAATAAATATAGAAGTGTTATTTACTTGTATTTTCGAAAACTGCATTAACGGTTTATCATTATTTATATATATATACATATATATATATATATATATATATATATATATATATATACATTATTTATTTGTTTTAACAATAAGTAAGATAAAGAACACAGGTAGCTGCGGGTCCTAAACTAAGCGCAGCTTGTATCTTAGGACCCTGGCATGCGATACAAAACGGTTTGTCACTGGACCTCATTTACATCGAGATAGTGTTAATATTACGTGCTTGTCATCGGCCTTTAAAATTAATGCTTCTAATACAAAAACTAAGGAAGTATTATAAATTTAAAATAAATAATAGCGCCTGCAAGAGATGATTCCGCAATTGTTGGAATAGGAATAATTACGTCCGGGTCTGGTTGTGTGTGTGTGTGTGTGTGTGTGTGTGTGTGTGTGTGTGTGTGTGTGTGTGTGTGTGTGTGTGTAGTGTGTGTGTGTGTGTGGGTGCGTGCGTGCGTGCGGTGTGTGTGTGTGTGTGTGTGTGTGTACGCGTGCGCGCGTGCGTGTGTGTGTGTGTGTGTGTCTGTGTGTACGCGTGCGCGCGTGCGTGTGTGTGTGTGTGTGTGTGTGTGTGTGTGTGTGTGTGTGTGTGTGTGTGTGTGTGTGTGTGTGTGTGTGTGTGTGTGTGCGCGCGTGCGTGCGTGTGTGTGTGTGTCTGTGTGTGTGTGTGTGTATCTATATATTTGAACTTAAGTTTAAAATTTTAACTTAAATTCAAAATTTTGCTGCTTTTTGAATAATAACCCTGTTGTAGTATTTACCTTTAAGGTTTATATTGGGTATCATGCTCCAAGTTGTAAAATTTTTTTTTTTAATTTACAGATGGGCCTTACGATTCACACCAGCTATACTTGGTTCAATTAATGCCGGTTGTGGTGTGTTTATAAATTCTTACTACCGTCGAAAGCTAAAACTTGGCACATATGGATATTTTTCATCTGTGATTCCCATATCAATAATGCCAGGGGTTCTCACTGCACTATTTCATAGACATGTATGTATTGTTTAGCTTGCAATAGTCAAATATTATATATTTTAATTACTGTGTCTTGCATTAAAATGCCAATGTGTGTATGTCACACATGATACACATGTGTAAATATAATGGTAACTCCTGATTGCATTTATTAATGGACATAACTTTCAATTACTTTGAATATGTAACACAGCTCAGGGGTACTAATAAGTGCAATACCAAAAAGTCATTTACATTCTTCATTATTATTCACATCATATCAGTTTAGGAATTGTGACTTATCTATCGCCTAATGTCTGTTTTTATTTTTAGTGCATAAGTTGTTACTTATTATTTTTATAGTGCGCCCTACCCGATCAAATTACAGAGTAGCAGTAAGATTGCCTTATATTTTTCCAAAGTATTTGTATATTTTCTTTTGTTAATCTTGCCTTGATATACAATAAATATAAAAATATATATCAACAGTCTCTGTTTTTCCGCAGTTGGTGTCAACGGATATGCTGTTGATGAAGACTGAAACTTGCCCAATCTGTTACGAGTTACGATCGGGGATGATTCAAATTGCATTGGGTTTCTTTTATCCCATGGTGCTTGGACCAACATCTTCATTAATGGTAGGTAGTTGTATTAAACATAGTTTTGTAAAAATTGTTATATTTGTTTCATATTACATGTGTTCGTTAGCAACAAATTAATTCCAATAATAAAGCTCTTATCTTTAAATGCCTGAGATAGATTTAAGAATAAAACTGTTTGGTATATCATCAGATCTAAAATGTCAGATAAATAGCAGGAACAAAGCCGCTTTCTCTGCCTCTCTTTACGATCTTAAAAGTTGCTGTATAGTAGCTGTTATAAATATAACATACAGCTATATTTAAAACTTTGAAACGAGGTAGTCCATCTTAGTCCTCTGGGGTGACAACGCATCTGCATTTTATTTCTTAATTGAGGATAAATGTAGATGTCTGTAGGCCACAGCATCCACTTATCATCAAGTAGACTGTGTCCTTGTTTTTCACCCTTATTCTATAAAAAATATCTCCATCAAACGGATCCAAATTGGGTCCCATCTACACTATTAGCCATCTGAATGAAAAACAAGTGATGCTCATCAACAGTTTATTATATTTGGATTTAGAATTTTCGCATACAATTTTTCGAAGGCAAAACCTTGTTCATACGTTTTTAGTTAGGATGGAATAGAATAAAATTATTATTCACTATATATTACTACATAATACTGTTACGAGCTCAGGGTTCGTGACAATAAAAACTGCCGATTGAATTACCAAAATTTACACTTTTATTACCGAACACCAATAAAAACTTAAAAGACACTAATAATTAATCACACTGATTTACTTTATTTCGCTCCGAAGCTTCGCTTGTATCGCTAAATTCAATACTGCCCCGGTGGCGGGCTTAAACGCCTTTATATACGCCTTTTTCGCCGATACATCCAGAATATTTCAGCAAATACCAGCCCCGATCGACAAGGTGCATAAAGTTCGAGTGTGGAGCTTTCCAGAAAGCTTAGTTCTTCTATTCCATACTAGATGGCGCTGTTTGTTAAAAGATCAGTCATGGCATTTTCTGGAAAGCTCTCCTATCTCTGTTCCCCGACACTAGATGGCGCTAGTGCCAGGTACCAGACATCAACTTAGGCGCGCAACAATATCTATAGAAAGTAATTTTTTTTGGCTACAAAATGCATCTCATTCGGTGAAACTGATATTGGAATAATTTTGCATATATTCCTATTAAGAATTAACACCTCGTTGTCGTCAACATCTTCCTAATAATTATAGAATAAAAAACTGCGATTGCCGACGCGTTTCCCAAGTGTGGCAGTTATATCCCTCTGAGGCAATCTATGGGGAGGCCAGTGTTCAGCTGTGGGTCTTCTTAGCTGTAATGGACGGATAGTACATATCGCTGACATTCCACTTGAGAAGCGCCAAGAGACACTCAAGTAGTTAATTTTTTCAACAACCAATTTCTCGAAATCTGCTAAAACAAAGAATCATGATATATTATTTGTCTATTCTATAGACGACATTCAAGTTATTTCCTTAAGATTTACAAGCTTAAGGTAATAACTTGAAAACTTATTGCCGAGTAAAAAAGTTAAACTTAAAAAAATAAAAGAAGGCTTCAAAAACTAAAAAAACAATAAAATAGTATCATATTAAAAACATGGCTTCTGAAATCGTGATCTTAATTTTATTTTTATTTTATAGTGTTTGAAGTCGGTTTATGCATTTTATGTAGAAGTTTAATTCGTTTAAGCAATGAATATTTCAATTTGTTTCAGTTCGCCAACAGATACTCCACTTACCGAGTACCAGACCTTGCTGATGGGCCAAAGGTTGTATTGAATTTTTTGAGGACAAAAACAAAACCATTCACAGGGACACTGACATCCATGGTGGCGATACAGTTGGCCGCCTCCACTATCCTGACGTACTTCGAGATGAAAAACAATATATCACTGAGACAGAAAATTTTAGAAATAGAGAAAAAAGTTTTAAATGAATAGGACACTGTATCAAGTAAATTTTAGATCCGTGTATAGTGTAAATAGATACCTAGCTCATAATACTTCAATCTCTCATTTTCCTTTTGAAAATTATCTAAAGCTGGTAAGGACTCTTTTCTGGGCAGGTAAATAGCAGTACGTGCACTGCGGTGTTCCAATCAGAAGAGCATAGAGAGCCAGTTATGAGGCACTCCATCTTAGTCTTCGGATGTGAAACGAATTTCTAGTTTCATCTGTAATTTCTTATTTATGCAGATTACACAAAAATATTATAGAACTACGCTGCAGCTATAATAGTTGCAGCTCGAATGGGTCTACTCGACCAGGAAAGTGTGGTCCTTCAATTCTCATACAGAATAGTGAGCGTAAAAAAACCAGAAACCCTATTTACTGGTAACGATGCATTCTATCTCAGTCTTCAGGGATGCAAATTTATCTACATGTTGATTTGACTGATAGAATCAGGCGTTACTTTGCGAAAACCCATTATAATAAAAATATAAATTACTTAGCAGCCTTCCGCTAACTAAATACAATGATGTGTCTTACCTGGATTGAAGAGCACCTCCCGCCCTCCCTCAATTGCATGCACTAACTTCTTAGCGGTCAGCCCTTGTAGAGTCTACATCACCTGAGGACGCTTCGTGTAGAGGCGAAACACGTGTCGTATTATCGTCGATGGTATGTCTTACCTGGAATAGTGGTGTTGGAAGTAGTGGTGCCGGGAGTAGTGGTGCTGGGACTAGTGGTGACGGAGTTAGTGCATGCAGTTGAGGGAGGGCGGGAGGTGCTCTTCAATCCAGGTAAGACACATCATTGTATTTAGTTAGCGGAAGGTTGTGTAACTTATATTTTTATTACATATTGATTTTTAAACGAGGATAGATAGATAGGTAGACGTCTATGGGCCACAGCATCCACTTATCATCAGGTGGACTGTGTGCTCGTTTGTCACCCTTGTACTGAAATAATGTAGACCTCTGATTCCCTTCACTGTGGACCACTTGATAAATCACTAAAAATAGCAAATAACATTAATGCTGGCGAAAATCAAACTGACACCGTGTCATTTATTTAAATGATTACTTAACCCTTAGCTACTACGGCGAAAAAAAATTTAACGTGTATTTTAATTTCAAAATGTGTTAATAATATTCTATTAATATATCGTTATCACTTGTTTACGGTTAAGATATGAACTCACGGTACGGGTATAATATATAATATAGTTACGCCACCGGTGTAAAATAACCTTCACATAACCGACATTATTTCCGTAACGAAAAATATCGAACGGGGTGGATGAGTAAGTGAAGATGCGAGCCTCTCGGCGAACAATAACAATAAATTCTAAGAATCTAAAATTTAAAAAACTAAGGCGATTTTGAAGTACAAGAAAAAGAAAAACTTTACTTATGTTGAGAAATAGATAGCGACAAAAATAACCCACCACAAATTACCTAGTAATATTTAAAACGAAGAAGTTCAATTTGATTTAAATGCAATACGTAATGCGTGGACTTTAATAAGCTGTAACGTTAACGGCAATACGTAATTAGTTTTTTTGATAAGGTTTGTAGTTATTAAAAAATAATTAAAGTGTATGTTGTATAACTTGGAATTGGAAGAACAAAAAGAGTGCCGTGTCCACTATCAGGTGGATTAACGGAATACTCTAAAGCAAAAAAGTACACTTTCACTAAACAAGAATTCAATCAATACTCTGCATGAACGAACATACAATTTGATAAGGTAGATAAAAAATAAAAAGTGATGTGTTAACTTGGGTAGTATTATTTGGAAGAACAAATGAAAGTGAGTGCCGTTTGTCCACTAGTGTGGATTCTTCAGGGTGGATTAACGGAATAACCTCTAAAGGCAAAAATATTGTGACACTTTTCTACGTAATGTCTCGTTCTAGGTAATGCTCTGTACACTTCGTAAGTTTTAACGTACTGATTATGTACTCTGTGGTACCAGTCTTCATAATAATGTTTAAGTGTGAACAAATACTGACAACTCACTTCCTTTCAAATGTACGAAAGGAAAAGGTGATACACTCATTACTGATTGCCTTAGTCTCGGATAATAGTACTTAAACATTATAATATGTTGCACGACCGTACGGAAAAGCGATGTATAGCATTTAAATAAGACGGTCCAAAATTGTATGAAGCATAGGCCTAGTTTTATACTAGTAAGGAAATAAATTAAAAAATCACGTTTGATCATTCAAATTTGCCTTTTACTTCAGTGGTATTAATATTTTATTAACACCAAAAAATGCAACACTAATGGCGGACAGATGTCGTTTTGACGTTAGCTATCAACTGTCATGAGGTTATTGATCCATTTATTGATGGCTATTTGAATTCTGAAATGCTATGTTATCCTTATCACTAAATCAAAACCAAATCGCCAAAGAAATCCACCAGAAACAATAAACGTATTCACGAGTTCACAACTACACGACCAAGCTCGGGATAAATATCACGCTACCTACATTATTTCATGGCTCAAGTCACTTGTCAGAAATTACTTTTGACAAATAACCGCGTCTTTTATGACTGCTAGAAGGGCGCCATCTTGTAAAACCATCAAAAACTTGTGATCGCATTTTTATTTTTAGCAAGTTATTTCGTTTGATTTATTCTCTTATTCTATTTTTAATAAAATCCCTTTTTTATCGTATAGTGTACACAGACTTGGCCTGAAATAGACCGTCCCCTTTGGTACCATTGTTATACCAAAAAGATTTATGTGAAAGATAGTCTATTCGCACACAACGTCGTATCGTAAGCGTATCCGTAATTCGCACGTAGGACGAGAGCAATCCGAGCGCGTACATGTTCAATCAACTCCGCACACGAAGCGGTGCTGCAGCGAATCGTAGGAGATGTTTATTGTAATTAGGTAGTACACTACGTACTGGCGTAAAAAAGCAAGCGTAAAAAATTTACCGTTCATTAATTTCTTTAAAAAATTAACAGTATTTTAATCTTTTTAACTTCTTACGATTTTTAATTTCAATAGATATGAGTGGGACTAAAAAAGTGATTGAATTCGTGAATCTGGTGAAATTTTGCCATGATTTCAACTGAGATCTTACAAAACGATACGTTTACTCGACGATTTGTTTGTAGAACACTGCAGATCTCGTACGCGTTGCGTTGTAACGATACGATGGGTATACTATAATGATCGGGAATAGAATATTTCGCATTGAGTTACAATAAAACCTTTTTTAGAATTTGAATACTGGCCTCTTATAATCTTAATGACATTCAAACAATAAAAAAATGTTTAAAAACAAAATCTATCTGGGTTTAAAGTTGACACGTCGTTAACAGAAATGGAGCTCACACGTGACCATTTCAGTGCCATAATTTATCACAATTTTCGTCGCGGCTTATCTCAAGATAAATGTCTCAGCGAACTTGTTTCGATTTATGATGTTGAAGCACCGAGTTAAACGACAATATACCGCTGGTATGCCGAGTTCCGACGCGGTCGTGTGTCGGTCAGCTCTATTTCTTCTGCAGGTCTATCAAGAACAGCGGTCACGCCTGAAAACATCGCAGCTGTGCGAACTATTATATTAGATGACCGTCATGTGACACGTAGATTGGGGCTGTTATCAATATCAGAATGACTGCAATTCAGTCGATATTACATAATGAGCTGTGTGCTAGTTTTTTTTGTAAGCTAGTTTCCGCTGGGTTCCCCGCAATTTGTCCGAAGAGCAAAAGGCGGCTCGTGTAGATTGGTGCCGGAATACTCTGCCACTTGACCGCATCCAGCGCAGAGCGGCTCGAATCGTCGACGACCGAGTGCTTTCCGATCGGCTCGATTCACTGGCGCTGCGAAGAGATGTTGCATCTCTTTGCGTATTTTATCGCATCTATCACGGGGAGTGCTCTGAGGAATTGTTCGGATTAATCCCAGCCGCCAAATTTCGTGAACGCACTAACGTCAAACGTCCCGATACCATCCACACCATCTGGATGCTTGGCGGTCCACCACTGTACGTTTCACAAGGAGTTTTCTTCCACGTACAACCTCTCTGTGGAATAGTTTACCACCGGCGATTTTTCCGGACCGATACGACCTGGGGACCTTCAAGAAAAGAGCTTACTCCTTTCTAAAGGGCCGGGAACGCACCCGCAATTCTCCTGGTGTTGCGGTTGATCATGGGCGGCGGTAGTCACTTAACATCAGGTGAGCCGCATGATCGTTTGCCCCTTCTTCTATAAAAAAAAAAGCGAAATATTTATTTCTATTTATAAAATTGCATTATAAATTTTATATTTCAGTTTTAAGAATATTTTTTGTCTCTGCCTCAAATCTGCAAAACGCTGTCCTCCATATTAGATACTGTCGTGACGTTACTGATTCCGTATAAGGGTGTTAGTATTCTGTCTCACTGATTAAGAAAACTATCTACTGTGCCGTGATATTACGAAAATTTTCAAGTTATCTTTACGATTATTGAGTTTTATACAGAATTTTATTGAAAAGGCATCATGGACGACGAATTCGTAAAAGCAGAAAGTACTTATCTACCAGGGACAAATAAATTGATGATGGCAAAATTTTTTGCATGCAATCCCAATTTTTGTTCTGCTGAGTTGAAGAATGTTAAATCATCAATGTAATTACCTATTACCAACTTTTGTTTATACAAAAACAATACCAGGCCAGTGTGTATTTTGATAAAACATAGTTTAGTACTTAGCTAAGTTAACGTTAATTTATTACGAAATTTGACTTGCGATACCCTTTACCTCATGATGTTTTGTTTTGTATAAACGATAGTTGAATATAGGTCATACTTACATCATTAATGAAAATGATCTTCACAGAAGAATATAGTAGTTTTTGTAGACTTTATTCGGGTATCTTCTTGCCAGTTTTAACCAAGTATTTCTTATATTTAAATCAGTTAGCACTTGAATCCTTAATTTTCCCGACGTTTCTATGCTCGTATTTTTGCATTCAGG